CTAACACCTTAGCTAAAATCTTGTAGATAATGCTAATGAGACTGATTGGTCTAAAGTCCTTGGGATCAACCAGGTTTTCTACTTTTGGAATCAAAACAATGAAGCTGGAATTAATACCTTTCCCCAGTCTACCATTTGCATAGAACTCCTGCGTAAATCTCATAACATCTTCTTCTAGAATTTCCCATGCAAATTTGATGAATTTGAAATTAAATCCATCAGGGTCTGGGGACTTCTTGCTGCAACATTCTGCCACAGCAGCCTTCACTTCTTGAATAGTAAAATCTGCCTCTAGCCATCTTTTTTTGAACTGGAAATTTTTTTGGTATCCACATCACCACTGGTTGGTCTCATCCATTTTTCTTCTGAAAATTGTTTCATAAAATGACTCTGGATTTCCTTCTTCACCTTTTTGGGGTTATCCTCCCATCTACCTTACTTCCAAATGCCTTGAATACCAGTTCTTGCTCTTCATAAACTTGTTAATTTTGTGGAAAAATGTGAATTTGCATCCCCAAGTCTCACCCAATTTGCTCTCAACTTCTGCCTCCATAAACTCTCCGTTCTTTTCAGCCCATCCCACAACTCATTCACCCCTTCCTTTCTTAGCAGTATATCAAATTAAATTACTCCAGCTCTTGATCTTTCCTCTTCAAGTCAATCTTCCCTCTTTTCACTTTAGCTTCTTCTATCTCTTTTGTCGAAAAGACCAAATTCCTCTATTCCACCTTCAAAGAAACGACTTGAGTGCTTTCAATTTTTCCTTACAGACATAACCACCCCATCCTTCCACACTAGCTGCTTCCCATTGTACCTTAATAATCTCCCTGAATCAAGGAACTTCAAGCCATCCATCTATTGACTGAAACAACCTTGGCCCCCAATCTACATTGTTTGCTTTAAACACCACCAGACAGTGGTCAGATACTGATCTCTGAAGTTCCACATGACAACAAGCACCCCATTCATCTAAAAATTCTGCATTAACTAGGAATCTATCATTTCTACTTATGGCAAACCCATCAGATTTGCAACAAGTATATTTTCTCCCTACCAACTGTAGATTAATTAAACCCACCTCTGATACAAATTCATTGGAAGCCACCATCTCCCTAGTACAATCCGTCCTGCCAACTTTTCATTCCGATTCAAGACTGCATTAAAATAACCTGCTATACAAATTCTACCCCCCAAGGATGAAATAGCATTCTGCAAATTGTTCCACATCTGTATTTTCTCTTATAAGCCACTTGTGCATAAATGTTAAAGAAAGAGCATTGAATTTTATTTGGTCTCCATATGCCTTTCACACCTACAAATCCATCACCAACAACAGTTATCTCCTTTACAAACACAGATTTGTTCCACAAACATAACAGCCCTTCTGATCTAACAACAGCATCCTTGGCTATCGATCCCACCTCATCAGCACCCCAAATTGCTCTACAGTCCTGTTGCTGAACCTTCTGCCATTTTGTTTCTTGAAATAACACTATATCTACTTTCTCCTTCATCACCAATTGTATAACATCATTTTTCTTCAGAAGATTATTCAAACCTCTAATATTATACGAAATTATCTTCATCTTTACCATTAAACCTGCATCTCTACCCAAGGTCCATTCCCCTCCCCTCCCTTCCTTTTGTTAAACTAAAATACCAGAAAATAGAAAATGAAGAATTAAAGTAAAGTAACGAAAAATCCCTCACCTCCCCTCCTGACCCCCCCTACTTTTTGTTATCCAAATAGAGGAAATTCCAAATCAAAACATAAAATGATAACAACATAAACATGGTTCATTTTTGAAAAACTAATCTTTATTTCCAAATCAAAATTTAGCACCTTAGACAATTGATCAGAATTAAAATCAAACAATAAGATCGAATTTTCATTTCCAAATCCAAATTTCTACTTTCCTTAGTAATGATGGATCATTTTTTCCTTCTATCTAGAATTCATTTTCACTACCACTAATTTCCCCAATACAACATTTGACATATTGTAGATGGAGTCATGGTATAATTTCAAAGAAAATAAACATAAAAACTGAATTTATAGTTAATATCAAATACCTAGACAATACAATAAGAAAACAATATGACATTAAAGACATATTTGATTCCAAAGATGCAATCAATCTCCAGACACAAAATGCACATATAATCTATAAAGACATAATGGAAGAGCACAGCAACATATCTGCAAGTAGAAAAAATAACAGAGTGAAGATAACGACTCTGTAAAGAAAGATGAAGGACAGAAGCGGCCATGATCGAAGCTACAATGGGGCTTTGAGAACTGGATTGTTTAAGCCTAGGGTTTTAGAGAAAGGTTAAATTTTTTGGATTCAAATTTTATCTTCTCAGTCTTAGCAACTCCCTATACTGCCTTCCTAATAAAAATGTCCAATAATTTGCCTCAAATCACACTATCTCCTATATCATATATCAAAAACCTATTGACGAGCATGATCATAACCCCAAAAAAATTCCCAAATTCCCAATCAAAGAACCCTACACAAAATATTCCAAATTCTCCGAAAAGGCACTCATTTTATAAATTGAAGAAATTAAAACCAATAAAGCCTGGAATTTGCGGAAATAAATGAGAAATTCTAACATCTTGAATGGCTTAATTGTCGAAGAGAATGGAGTCGATGAAGATCTTTGTGGGGGAATTACTAAGTTAGTGGTAGAAAATGTAAGGGGAAATCTAATACACCTGCGTTTGACATATAGTAATACTAACCACCAAAATTGTATCTTTCTGCGGTGGAAACTTAGACGAAATTATGATTTTCTTCTTTGAAGTCTATACCTGTAATTTTTGTTTGAGCAGAATTTTTTGAGACTGGGGATTTAGAAGGTGGATGCAAAAATGTCAGTGGAAATGAAAGGGCAGATTGTATGCTATAGAGGAAAAAAATGAAAGAAAGGGGTTTATGAAGATAGGTTGTAGGGGTTTTTTTTTTTTTTGATATACTTAATTAATAAATATTTTTATTTAGTGATTTGGGACAAGGAGGTAATGTTAAAGTTTAACTAGTTAATGAATTGAAAATTTGTTTTAAGTAAGTTTTTTTTATCGAATAGTTAGTTGTTTGAAAATTTTTAATTTTATTAAAAATTTTATTCACTTTTATTTTTTTAATTTTTTTTATCATTTTAATTAATTTTTATTTAATTAATTTTATTTTTATTTTTAATAATTAAGTGATTATTATATTTTTAT